TCTCTCTCTCTCTCTCTCCTGCTTCCTACGTCTCCTCTTCTCCCAGTTTCTCTCACCCTCACCCTCTCCTTCTCCCCCCAGACCTCATGCAGTCGTCCTCTAATTATTACCCCCACTTGGTTGTCCCTTCCCCTCCATTCCCCATCCTCCTGTTATATGATTTATTTATCTTTCCCTCCTATTCCATTCCCACCCCTCTCCTCCTCCATCCCCACCCCCTCCTCCTTCATCCTCCATGCCCGCCCTCCCCCTTCATCCTCCATCCCCACCCCCTCCTCCTTTATCCTCCATGCCCACAATCCCCTTCATCCTCCATTCCCGCCCTCCCCCTTCATCCTCCATCCCTGCCCTCCCCTTTCTTCCTCCATCCCCGCCTTCCTCTTTCCTCCTCCTGTAGTTACGAGGCAGCAGGTGTAACAGAGGAGGTCACATGTATATAATCACCTGCCACTAATTACCTCCATTACCATGCTTCACTTAATTACTCTTTGTCCTCCTGTACTTAAGTAGCTTCATTCTTGATAATAGATTCTTGTGGTATTTTTCTTAATTAACAAATCACAAAAGCACCTTCATTTTGTCCTCATCTCATGATTATAAAAGATCTTAAACACGTGGAATAGCTTCTTTAAAACACCAAATAGTTGCTCAGGTTGTCCATATTATATAATTATGTCTTAACCAGGATGTTTTATGCTGTACCTTGCATAAGTTGTCAGCCTCGGCTCACTTAATCCCTTACCCTTCGTAGTCATGAATGTTCCCTGCGGCAGTTTTAGTATATAACTACATGTGTTGAGTGAAGGATGTACCAGTAAGCCTATTCATTTTTGTGACACACACACACACACACACACACACACACACACACACACACACACACACACACACACTCTCTCTCTCTCTCTCTATCGGACACTCCTCACAGGTGGAAGTACGTGGATGACTACACTGTGGGGGTTTCAGTGGACAACACCGCACCAGGCTACTCATCGCTACAAGGCACCCTGGACAGGCTACAGGCATGGACTACGGAGAACAAGGTCACCATCAACCACACCAAAACCGTAGTCATGCACATCAATACCGCCACCACTCCAGTGCAAGCCCCAGCAGTCACAGTGGGTGCCCATCCTCTCCAGCTGGTGCAGTCTGCCAAACTCCTGGGTGTAACCATAGACAACAAACTTGACTGGAAGGCCCATGTAAATAACACAGTCAAGGCAGCCTCGTATCGTCTCTACATGCTACGACGACTATAGGTCACTTGGGACACCCACGCCAGAGCTGAGGACCATCTACAACGCCTTTATTCTCCCCAAACTAACATATGCGTCACCAGCCTAGTCGTCTTCTCTCAACTACACCCAACAACGTCAGCTAGAGAAGGTACAGAAAAGGGCCTGCAGAATCATGCTCGGCGCAGAATACTCCGGCTACACCAACGCTCTCTCCACCCTGGAAATGCCATCCCTCAGTGACCTCCACCACCAAGCACTGGAAAGGTTTGGCCGTGGACTACTGTACCACACCTCGTCATCGCCACCTCCTGCAGCCCCCCACCCAACTCGCGCAGTCTGTATATTTTCAGCCACCGGCTGCAACTCTATTAATAAACCGTTTATTATTAGTATTATTATTATTACACACACACACACACTACAACCTCTTTAAATGTAAAAAAAATAAATAAAAAATATATAAATAATAATTTTCACAGTTTAGAGAGTCATCAGCTGGGTGAGTTGGCATTTCCCTCGAATGCAGTCTAGTGTGAGTCTTGTAGTCCTCAGCAATGACCAAGCGTCTGTCTGTCTGTCTGTCTGTCTCCTCCTATATACACCTGTCTTATACTCCCTCTCTTCAGGATTCTTCTAAACGCCGTCACCTAAGCCTATGCCTAAATAACCACGCGCCTACGATGATCACTACCACCATCACCACCAACACCACCATCACCACCACCACCGGAGCGCACCATAACGTCAGTCACCCCCATTACTAAGGCTTCTTGACACTACCTCCACCAGCCGCAACATTCTTACTCTACTTACCTGTTACATCTTCTCTCACACCTTGATGCCTTCTCTCTCACCTCCAACACCCTACTAACACACTACGCTTGTCTTAGTACTGAAAATTAACCCTATATACTGTATAAGAGTGAGGACTGGGTGGGTGGGAGTCGATACTCTCTCCCTCGCGCTGTTGGGTGACAATTGAGGGTCGATCTACACCTATTGCTTAAGTGTTGCTTGGATGTCATACACACACAAATCTGAGCTAAATAATGATACTAGAATTACTACAACTACTAATACTAATACCACTACTACTATTACTACTAATAATACCACTACTACTACTAGTACTAATAATAATGATGATAATAATAATAATTTTAACGACAACAACTATATATATATATATTTTTGTTCATGTTAGAGCAAATTCGACCAAAAAAATTCCTCCTAAAAACAACAGAAAACCAAATAATATCCAGTGCGTTTCAAAGAGTTTCCCCGAGGCCATCTTCTCGTGCATGACAAGTGATCACCCAGACTCAGCAGCAGCGAGAGTTTACAAGAAAAAGCTAAAGTTCCCTCCCCCCCGAGTCGCTTCCTCTGTTTTATTACTCTACAACACGAAGCTTACTGTTGTCACTTAATCTTTTCACTATCTCTCAAGCTGTCTCTCCTCCTCTTATGCCGTCACTTTCATACTGACGACTATGACTCTGTAGTGAAAGTGACAAGTGTTGACGTGGGGAGAATTAGAGGTGACATGTGTGTTGAAGAGGAGGAGGAGGAGGAGGCGAAGATGGAGGAGGAAGGAGAAGAGGAGGAAGAGAAGATGGAGGAGGAAGGAGAAGAGGAGGTGGAAGAGGAGGAATAAAAAGAGGAGCATGAAGAGGAGGAAACAAGAACATGAAGACGAAAATGATGAAGAATTATAAGTGATACTAGTATTAAGAATAAGAGAAATAAGAAAAGTTAAAAGAAGCAAGTGAAAGCTGAAATATCTCTTTGGGGAGGAGGGGGGAGGGGGTGTAGGAACTGGCAAGGGATCGAGTAGTGTTTAAGACTTCAAATGTTTTACAGGGCTGGTATTCCTCTCCCTTCCTCTCCCCCGAGTTTGAAATGACCGGAAGAGAGTAACAAACACACCGTCATTATAAGAACGTTACGAGATATATGTTCGAGCTATTTCTTCCACGTGAGTTTACAAGGTGTCTGATTAATTGAGATGTGTATAGTGTATGATTATTGACTTACGATGAATGAGTTTATTTAGCATATGATTACTGACACAAGGTGAATAGGCTTGTAAAAATGACCGAATATTGACACCCGAGAGAGAGAGAGAGAGAGAGAGAGAGAGAGAGAGAGAGAGAGAGAGAGAGAGAGCACGCCATCTTCAGAGGAAAAGTATGTCGCCGCCGCATGCAAGGCTTCTGTGCAGTGATGCAGGTCCTCGTGGGGGGAAGGGGATGACGGGTCCAGTGCTTGTATGGAGGTTACTTGCATACTGTGGTTTCGTCATGGTAACGCTCAGCCATGAAGGAAAGGCAGGGGTTTTGGGGGAGGGTCGTGGGGGCTGGGGGGGGGGGATACGGATTCAGTCCACAGTTATCATCCTTTCAGTTGTTTTGGACATATAGCACCAAGTGATTGTCCAAGCCACAAATAACGCCAAGTTTATCCCAATCAGCTTCTCTAAAGTTCCCAAACAGCTTTTTTTATCGTCGTGATATTCGCCAAGTACAAGTGACCATTTTCAGCAAAACAATGGACCATTTCATTCAAGAGAGAAGAAAAAAAAATTCCAAAAAGCAAATACAAATCCCCGCTAAAATAGTCAAACGGTGTATTTGTCAACAACAGCGAAATTGTCGATCTGCGTGTGGCCTGAGAGGTGTGGGCGGTCACTGGAGATGAGACTTCCCCCAGCTCACACCCTCCTCCATCAAGATCAATATGTGTTACCCAACTCAACACCTGCAGACACACCTCAGCACCACGCCCACAACAGGTAACTTAAGCCAGTTATTTTAAGATAAGGATCAGTCTCTCAGGAAACCCTCTGAGTTGAAGTGACTCAGAAAAAAAAGTAAGAAAATCATGAGACACATCTCCAAGAGGTCAAGGACGTTACCCAGCTCTTTACGTAAAGCCCAGCACGTCTGATACGATCTTTACGTCATACAGTCAGAGGTGTCATCAAGTCACCCAGATGTGGTCTCAATATACAGTTATGAGGGCTTTTAATATCACACAGTTAGACGTGTGTTCAAATTGCATCGCCTCAAAATTAACCTCCCAGTTTATTTCACCTGAAGGTTAACCACCCTAACGCTAACCTATTTTAACAATACATAACCTAATCCAACCCCCAAGTAGTGTAAGGGTGTTTAAGCACCAGGTGAAATAATCTGGGGTGCCAAATCATAAAGTGATCCCTCACAACTTCTGATAAATTTATCTTACGAACCTCAGAGGACCCAAGGAAGGAGGGAGAGGGTCCAAAGAAGGAGGGGCTGGGGTCCAAGGAAGGGGGGGGGAAGGGGGCCCAAGGAAGGGGGGGGAAGGGGGTCCAAGGAAGGGGGAAGGGGGTCCGAGGAAGGGAGGAAGGGGGCCCAAGGAAGGGGAGTCCAAGGAAGGGGGGAGGGGGTTGACGTAGCTCAGCCCAGGGTTTAAGCGAGCGGACACCAGATAGCGCAAACTTACGATACAGAATAAAGCAAGATAACGCTGTAACTGACGCCCTGCCACGCTCCCACAACGCTGAGTGATGGTCCTAGCCACATGTAACACCAAGTGATGGTCCGAGCTACATGTAACACCAAGTGATGGTCCTTGCTACATGTAACACCGAGTGATGGTCCTAGCAATAAAGAACACCGTATAATGGTCCTAGTTACTTTTAACATGGAGTGATGGTCTTAGCAAAATAAAAAGTGATGTTCCTAGCATTATGTAACACCGAATGCTGGTCTTAGTTATATGTAACAGGTAGGCGGAGTTTACTGGGTCAAGGCCGGCCGAGTTAGCCGCCTCTCTGTCTCTCTTTCCAGCTCTGGTCAAAGTCGGACCTCTTGGGCCAAGGACCATGGGGGCAGGTATGTGGTCCTGTCCTAGGGCTGTTAGGGGGGGGTGTCAGTAGTATCTAGGCTGACCTACCAGTTAAGTAGGAAATGCATTTTTATTATGTCTTTTTTATTTTAATATATGAAAATAGGATAGAGTTACCTGGTGTATCATCGTCCTCTCGTCCAGGAGTAATGCCGTGACTTCACCAGCCCGCCGCCGCTAGACTGCTTGGCGCCTTGGTGGTGCTGCGGGAGATGCCAGGTAGGTTATGACGGTGTTATGTATATCATTGTTGTAAAGAAAGTAATTGTTATACAGGTGCTAGCTAATATATTGACAGATAAACAGACAGGTAAACAGACAGACATACAGACGAACAAACAAATATAGGCAGACAGGCAAGTACTGTATAGGAAGATAGACAGACAGGCAAATATAGATAGACAAAGGATAGCATATATAAACGATATGACAGACAGACAGACAGACAGAATATTATATATGACAAACAGGCAGGTTGACACACTGACAGAGGATTTTATATAAATTATAACTGACAGACATACAGACCGATATGGTATGCCAGGCAGACTCCCCTTACCTTACCCACCAATCCATTGTCATACCTAACTAAACTTTCGAATCTTTCTTAAGTTTCTTTTCACCCAACTCAAGAATTTCCAAAAGGGGGAATCTGATTTTTTTTTAAAGAGTTATGAAGGTAATAATTGTAGTTTATTCTCACAATGGTCTTAAAAATTTTAGTTCGTTGTCAATAAACACTTCAATCCTTTTCACATTTGACCTAAGTTAATGTAGTCACGTGGTCAGGTTGGGTTATGTGATATGGTACTTCTCCTTGTTGGTCTACCATGAGGTTTACAACAGAGACATCCGATATTATGTTTGATAAGATAGATCATATGCCACACTACGAACTACATTTATATGAAAGGGGAAACAAATTTCGAAATGTTACAGCGACTCCTGACAGCGTACAAGAACTAATTCAAGTGTGTCAGCAGCTTGAAAGTCAGTCAGATATAACATATGAAACAAATCAAGAAGTCATCAGTATTCCATAGAATCTTATGTGTGTTGTCTAAGGCAAGCAAATTGGTATATATGAAGACCCGAACAAACTCAGGGCAAACCTGCATGTCAGAAAGAATCTTTGGAGCCTGCCACCCACTGAAGACGCATTTGTCCACCATGTAAAGCGAGCTTTACTATCTTACAATCATGTATTTGAGTTAAGGCTGATCAACCACAACCTGTCTTTCCAGACCCATTCAAGTTTGGTTCGGTGTTAGATTATAAAGTCAAACCGCTGTTAACCACAATTTCATCAAAACCATAAATCCTTGCTCCATCTACATACTGTAGATGTAAGGAACGCTGTGGTTGTAAAGGTTTGTACCGTCAACCTGGGTCGTGTGAACTCGTGTGTACAATGAAAGACAAAAGACATGTCGTGAAATTTGGTGAAAACATATGCCGAAGGGCTAAACTTTTGGTGCGCTCTGCCTTGTGGTTGGGGGCTTTCATGTTTCAAAAAGTTATATTTAATCTTCGGACAAAACCGCGACACCACTTTTGTCTTTGATTGTACATGCAGTGGCAAACCAGAGTCATGTTCAAATATGTTACTTTCATTATGTAGACATGGATAATATTGATGCGAATCATAAAGCTGGAAATCGTGCAAACTGTAGATTATAGCGCATATCTGACACCTGACATGTATAGTACATAGCACAGATGATGCCATTCAATAAAAAACTACCGTACTTATTTCATATCAGTTAGATATTGTTGAGTATCAGTTGTTTGTCGAGGATTTTCTCCCTCCCCCCTGTAACATGTGATCAACCAATAAACACTGTACTGTAATACATCTTAAAAGCTCCCTCAGTCATCTAGTACTGTAACCCCACCTTAAATTCTCTAGCCGACATAATCTATCGAAAAGAACCGTAAAACCTCCTGCAGCTCACCGTGTAGGGTACCACTCAAAAACCAAATTTAGGTCTCAGACTACTAGTATTTTACACATTATACTGGCCATGCTCACTGGTATATGATTTTCGAATTATTTGTGGATTGGCGATCTCCCTATTTGAATATAAGACACATATACCATTATTCTAACAAAAATTTCCTTATGGTTAGATACTGGCTGCTCCATACGTTGCCACGTCTCTCGCTATCTTTATCTTGATGGGGCATATAATAGTACAGGGGAGACTGGAGCACTGGGGAACACACCTGCCATGTTCCCTCGGGTCACACGGGACAACCAGCACTCTTCTTACATCAGCACTCAAGCGAGAATCGAACCCTGATAGCCGTATTGAGAGGCAAGACGTTAACAATCATCTGGGCGACTTGGTAATTGACGTCCACCTTGGAGTAGTTCCAGTAGACTAAGGCCTGTTGTAGTTCTTAGTTTAATAAGTTACCTTTTTGTACAGTACCTACTTGGCTTGCTCAGCCTTAATTAATTCTGGTTTAAGCATTAGGGTTGGTGATAATAATAATAACTGTGGAAGGATCACCGTGGTGAAATATAATTACTAAATTTGTCTTCTGGAAGAAGTCGCCAACAGCATCATGCAGTATGTTGACATGCTGAGTCCGGAAGCATCGGCTTTGTGACGCTGTATTCTTCTACTCACGTATCATAAAAGACTTGTATATTATAATGTACTAACCACAGTCATACATGTTAGCTAACTTAACATCAGATGACTCGTATTACGCTCAATAATACATAAAACACGTAGCTATAACTTGTTTCTTTTGTCCCCCCCGCGGAGACGTCCGTTTTCTCTATTCATTAAGACGTACGTTTTCTCTGTCCTCCGTTTAAGCGGAATCTCCCGAAAATCCCATATTAATGTTTGTATATTTAAAAATATGAATGAATGTGTATGTGTTACTGTAAGAGAACCATCAAAGAAGAAAAGGGTCTTAACATTGTCTAAACCATCGGAAAAACACATTGCTCAACAAAAAATCCATGTTTGTCCACTTGTAAAAATTTACCTAAAATAAGTACTTTGTTTAATATGGCAGGGGCAAGGAAGTTGGGTAAGGTGACGAGTCGCTTGAGCGTCACCTGGATCTTCCTCCTCCTAGTCGTCGCTCCTCCGACTGTGGAGAGTATAACCTTGCTATCACCCATATTTCTCTCCCCCCACCCAAAAAACCCAAATTCCTACGGGCTCTCCAAGATTGTTGGAAGGAGGTGTGATAACCAAAAAAAACCCGGGTAATTTCAGATGGAAATCATGGTCAAAATCATTCGAAACACATCAATACATCGGCAAAACATTGTTTTGGGAAGTCATGTAAGTGGCTTATATAACCAGTGGTTCATGGCATAAAAAGATAAACCTCAATGACCCCAGACCTATATAATACCACGTCCCAACCTATCTAAACTAATCATTAGGACAGAGGCCTGTAATTATTCGGATCGTGACCATCCGCTGTTTTTTATATTGAAAGTGGGTTTAAAAATTCCCGGTTTTCACATATTTTATTAGAGGATACTGTACATGTTGGAAAAAGTTATAAAAATGGCTGAAACTGAGCTAACCAAACCAATATCTTAACTCGCCTACTCTAGAAAACTAAGCATTTACACAAGAAAATGCATAGAACTGAAAATAATCAGCACATAAAACTACCCCCCCCCCCATAATTACCTTACAGCTGACAGTCAAGTCTATATTAGTCGATGCCCAATCCCAGTGGAACTAATCCCTGTATTATTATCGTTTCGGTTATGCTGCGAATATTTAGATTTTAAGTTTAGGTTAGGTTACATTAAGTTACATTACGTTGGGTTAAGTAGAAATTATGTTTTTCCGGGTTTTTTTTTTTTTTGAACGATTCTGACCTACTTCCAAATAGGTAGGTCATCTCAAAGGTACTGATACTGACAAACAATAAATTTACTACCAAATTTGAAACCTCTGTTAACGTCAGTATTATTTTACTTTGGGACATGGCACGCCCGAAAGTTATAAACTATTGAAACATTTAGTTAGATCTCCCTATTCTGAGCATTTTGAACCCCAAATATACCAGGCGGAAATGGATAATAGCGACACAATTGAATTTAATGGATTTAACGTAGTTTTCAGTCTTCGTCTGAGATATATCGGCGCATCACGCATGCGCAATATTGACTGACGTCATCCAGTCGTGACCAATGATGTATCCATATCACGCAAATTTTTTTCAACCAATCACTTTTTTTTTTCAAGGGAAGCAGCTTGGGTGCTATATTATTTTCATTGACTGGTCTCACAATGGCCGTGGTGAAGGTCGGTTCTCATTTGCGCTCCTACGATTATTTTAAGTTTATTGCCGAGTTTCACGGAAGACGATCATTCTATCAAATTTTTACGTATCCCTGGTCCTTCCACTTCTAAGGTATTGTACTTTCGGGCATGGCACGCCCCAATGTTTTAAACTACTGAAACAATTAGGTTGCTTTAAGCTAGGCCTACCGGGGTCCGGGGGCGTAGCGCCAGGCTAGGGGTTAGGTTAGGTTAGGTTAGGTTAGGTTAGGTAGGTTAGGTTAGGTTTGACTCGTTTTCGTTTTCTCCCCCACCCAAAAACCCCAATTTCCAGGCTCTCCCCCATTATTGTTGGGGGTGCAAAAACGAGCAATTTCCGACAAAAATTAAGATCAGATTCATTTAAAACACCAAAATACACTGGGAAAAACATGTTGGTCACTCATGTCCTGGAGTAAAAATTTACGGTAAAAGTGTAGATAACGGCTACCATCTGAAGTCGTTTGTTGATTTTCTTTATTTTTGCTGTACTTATTGTTTTGATGATTTTAAGTATATTTAGAGAAACGACAACTTTCTATTGTGATTTAATTTATTTTATTTCTTTATTTACTCTATCCAGCTTCACAATTCTCGACCCAGCGCCATGTTTGCCTCGCTGAATCCCTCTTCAAGATACGTTTCCTAAATGATGGTGAACGCTTCCACGAATTTCTCCTGATGTATATCAACTTCAATGTTAAGGTAAATTGTTTAACACATAAATTAACACGATAATCCATTTTTGTATTTAATATGATATTTGTGTGTAGAAAACTTTCAACCAATTCGGACAATTCCTTCTGGTGGTAGGCGTTATCTATACCTTTACCAAATTTACCAATGTATGTTATTACAAATTTATGACACGAATTCCCAAGCGGATATTAGAGCACTAAAAAATCAATGGAATTCTTAAATGCAAACCTTTACCTCTTTCAACCAATCTGTCGGCGAGACGATAATAATGACGTTACTGTGGAGGAAGGAGCTGTTACTCCTGTATATCACTAATTGTAGATGGCGCTGATCCAAGAGGTTTTTTTTGTGGGGTGGCTGCGTCGGCTTGTTAGTTTACATTTAGGAAGAAGACTGCGGCATGTTCAACCTGTGAAATGTGTAAAAAATAGTTCTCAAGACAGGTACCCATCACTGTTATGTATGGGAAAAACAAGAGGAATTACAACCATGTGAAATTCCATCGTTTTCCCGAAGATAAAAAAAGGTTAAGTTAATATTAATATATAAGTGTTTTGTGGAAATTAAGATATATAACCACATTCAGCGCTGAGTTAATATTCGTTTTAGCACAACCTTGAAATAAAGATTTGAACCTTATAAAACAGTGAAATACGCCCCCCAACAAAGCAGCTATCATGCCAAAGTCCGGCCTCTTCAAGTAATATTCTAAAACGAATAATTACCCAGTGCTATACTTAGATAGGTACTCAAAACTACTCTCTGATTGTACTATGTATAATGTTAATTATCGAACATTTTTAACAGGTGCTTGGAATGGCTGCACACATTAAATATGGCGTATTTGAAGGATAAAACATTGGACATATCACTATACAGTCAATGGGCAATTGTTCGCACAGTTGTCCCAGCACAGGTATAGAAAAATTAGGAAAAAAAATCGATTGACATGCTTAAATTATTTTTAAATTATTTGATATCTTATTAAATCGAGCATTGCTATGGTGATCTTTGTAATATAAAAACTAAACTAGTAGATCTTATAAGAAGGTCGTTCAGATATCTACAGTAACGCTATTCAAGTTGGGGGCACCAAGGGCGGATCCAGGAATATCAAAAGGGGGCTCCAAGAAGTTTGGGTGGGCGAACATGGAGTGCCATGTGCACTTGATATTAAGAGATATTCTGTGGTTAATAGTAATTACTTCTTACTATACAAAAAAAATGCTGCATTAAAGAAAAAGTATTGAAATTTTCTGATGAAAAGGGGGGTCCGGACACCCCCCCCCCCTCCGCTAAATCCGACCTTGGCCACAAAACTGGTGCCTGCACTACGGCACCTCAGTTGTCCAGAGCTATTAGAATGACTGCAACTGCCTAGCTTATGGTATAGGCGGGCAAGGGGGTTACCTAATTGAAGTTTCTAAACATCTCAGAGGACACTATTCAGTGCTGATTGGACAATTAGCGGTGTTACCAATGTGGTACTACTTGTTGTTTAATGAAAACTGCGTACAAAAATTAACAATACCTATTGCTTATTGTTTGCCATTAAGTAATGCAGTAGTTGAACTTATATTTTAATGTTACAAATGTGAAAAGTAACGTACGGAATAAACTCTCAGCCAGTTTATTATTTGCTAGCATAAGAATCAAAACAAGACTTTGCTTCAATAACAACTGTTGCAAGGATTTTAAAGTTACCATGAGATGCTGAGCTTGTTCAGTGACAATATGTATGCATCGTCTGCAAGTGCTCATATCAACAGGCCATCAAACGATGACAACAACGATGATTTTGATGATATAATCGGAGTGCCTTTTTAGCAAATGGTGAAAGTATATATGTTGATAATATTGTATCGAGTTATCATTTGGCCTTTTAGTTTGAAGAGTTTGGCATTTTCCTATAAAACACAACTCTAACTCGGGGCACTTTAAACAATCCTAGCATTATTTTTTTTTTTAATTTTGGCGGAGTTTTGATGCCAAATTTAGTCAAGAAAACACCCTTCCACTTTTTCATCTCTTCCAGCATAGCTAAAACCTGTTTGTAAACCTCACGCCCTCAGCCAGCTGATATCCTTATCTTGTGATTGATCGATATGTTTTGAAGGTGTAACTGTGTTTGACTAACTGCTGGTCTGCAGGAAGACTCACTCTGTGTTTACATTTGAGTTACACTGCTCCAAAAACATCACAAAATAGTATGTTTGAATACAGATATCCCCTTATCTGCGATGGAGTTAGGTTCCTGAAAACCCATTGCAGGTCGAAATATCGTAGACCGGGAGAATTATAGCACAGGGTTCAATGGGTTAGGTTCCTGGCCAGTCGGACACCCACTTGTATCATCGAAAAAATAATTTCTACAATACTACTATCACTATAAAAACAATTAAAGAACACTCACCACATCATGATGAGCAAATCTGGTCGTCATCACATGTCCCCTTCGAGGGTAAAGGGACTCTTAAGGTGGAGTGAAGACGTCACTCTGACTCTCACACAGCCTTTGGGGCATCTCATGTCACTTCACAATGTCAAGCTTCACCTCCGAGATGTGGTTTTCTTGGGTGCCATGGCCTTTCCAGACTTTTCCAAGTCACACTTTTTTTTATGGGGAGTAGCCCACCCAGGCATAGGTCACCGAAATAAAATTTGAAGATATAATAGATACAGAAATGGAGAAAAAATAAACAAATGAAGAGCGAGAAACAATATACTCTATATGTTGTGTTGTCAAAGAAAGAAAAACAAATGAGAACCTGCAATGGACGAGTTGACGGTTCTAGTTAAGCAGAAGAAATACTCTGCCACGTTCGTGGTGATACAGTATATATAATTTGTAAATAAATTTTAAAGTCCTGCTATAATAATCGAGATAAGTTTATTTCTCTAGAAACAAGGCCGCCACTTGCAATGACGTCACTACCTTCAAACTCACCGCTGCAGTCTGAGGTAGTAGTGTCGTGGATTCCTCCCCTACAAACGCCATTTGTCGCCAACTAGCCGACCCCGCAAATTCCCCAGTATGCTTCGTGGTCTAGGTCAGCAACCAGCACCGCCTTGCATGACTGAGATCAACTATTAAGCCACGCCTACCTCCGCTATATAAGACCTCACCTCGTGGTGACCTATCTCTTTCTACCTACAGCCACCAGCAAGCAACACCTCCTCCACTCCTGCCTGGCTGCTCCCACTCCAGCCGGAGACCATGGCGACCCACAAGCTGGTCCTCCTCTGAGCACCCTCACCAACCAGCTCTCTCTACTCAACGCTTGTAACCATGCTGCCTTCCCAGCACCAAGCTGCATTGTACATCCAATGCAATATGTATACAGAGAGCACATTGTGAGTTTCCTTTCTCCAACCCATCCCGAGTGTGAACCAATATCTCGTACCCCACAGTAGAAAGGATGGCCCCTTCAGACTCCAAATGCCACGTTCATATAAGTTTTAAGGGTGTTTTTTTTTATGGTCTAGGTCATGGATATTTCGTAAGTGAAAAATGAGCCATGAAGAGCAGCTTCAATCATATATTTTTTTTTTTACGGGGATTAGCCCACCTGGGCGCAAGACACTCAACGCCGTATTATTAAACAATATCTTCCCTTGAAGAGGGTCGTCGTGTTTCAACCCGAGTTTTAAACTGATTGAGTCCTGAGGGACACCGCAGTACAGTACTTAACGGGGTGGTGTGGCGGTAAAATTAACTAATTCCTATATTATAAATTAATTTTATTGGATTTAGTTAATTTTACCACCACACCACCCCGTTAAGTATTGTACTGCAGTGTCCCTCAGGACTCATTTAGTTTAAAACTCGGTTCCTCTTGAAGATGTTGTTTAATAATACAGACGTGACCCACATCTGGGCCGGGGGAGGGGACGAAAATGTAATAATTATTCACAGTAAATAAAATTTATAATAAAAAGTAAAATAAAATAATAATGATAACAATAATAATAATAACACTGTAATAATAATAACAATAAAGAACTACAGCACTACTCAGTCAAGTGTCCCTCCTTGGAACTGGCGGACGCTCGCCCCACAAGGGGTACCAGCTCAAGATTGAAAAAGCCGCAGGTCCAAAAAACTGTGAGGGCAAACTTTTTCGGAGTGAGTGTTGTGAACTCTTGGAACAATCTGCCAGAAAGTATTGTGACGGCACCGAGTGTGAGCTCTTTCAGGACCAGACTTGACCAACACTGGAGCAGGTTCAGGTACATTCAGGAGCCGGTGCATACCCAGTGCTTGCCAACAGTGCGTAACAGAGACGTGATCAATCGCCCAAGCAGCTAACGAGCCGATCAGAGATGATAAGGAAAAAAAATCAAGTCAGAAATGATATATGTATGTTGTGTTGTCAATGGTAAGAGAAACAATCGAGACCCTGCAATTGTGTGTAAATGAGGCAGAAAGTCAGATCAGCAACCTGACTCTTGGTCACAATTTTCGTGATGCCATATGGCAGCAGGGTCTACCATTAGACAACACATTATGCTTCCAATATCTTCCCAGGCGGTAGTACCTCCCTGTTTGGTAGCTGCCTACTACCTACTACCTCACTTCAGTCACAAAAACACAATAATAATCATGGGCACTCGAATCTTTTATGAAGAAATGTAAGAAATGTTAATACTGGAGTCTACGAAAGCATTTCTAATTGTTAGAAACCCCACTTTTCTTTACCAAAATAATCCTGAATATATTATATAAAAGTTTGGTTAAATAAATATATAAAAAAAAAAACTTACCGTATAGGTTACGGGCATGTGAGGTAGGATTTTCCACTGCACTGGTATATTTTTCCCGAGTATAAACATGGCATCTCTCATGGAGCTGTATTAATTTACACAAACACCACTGTACACACACAATATATTGTAAATACTGTAAACAATATAATGTATACTACTACTAAACTGTACTCACCAGCAGATGTTGGCAGCTTGAGCCTAGAGTAGGTAGACATTCTACACTCTGGTGAATGTAATATTTTACTGTACGTAACTATAATCACTTGCATTGGAGGTGAGGGGGGATTAGTGGGCCATGTTACTAACCTGATCTTATACAGAGAATAATGTCAGGTCACCCTTGTATATAAACTCTTCTCTCATTTGCAGTGGAGGTGGAATGGGGGATTAGTGCTCTCATATGACTGACCTTCTGATGCAATGCCAGGTCATCCATTGTCAGGGTGGGAGATCAGTGCAAAAGCTCAGTCAATAAAACAGGGAAAGCACTTCAGTCATAATGAGACCACTTCACAGTCACCAAAACAGAGTACAATGTGAACTTTAGTAATGTCATCTTACTGTAAGGAAGGGGTGGTGGTGGGTAACACAGATATTGCCCGACAAATGCAGTGTGATGTGTTCCATATTCCAAGTTCGCGGGATCATAAATATTGCAAATGCGGGTTTGTTTATATCACAAATAGGGAAGCGATCTTAATACATCGGCATCGTTAACGTGGTATATCGCAGATAGGGACATCGCAGATCGGCAAATACCTTTACCATAAGTCGGACACAAGATTGCCGAGTATGTATCTTACAAGGAGTTTTGAGTATCCAGACCCTGATTTTTCATCACCAAGACCTAACAACGCCCTATTTAGCCACAAAAATACTGTCAACTTCAAAAAAAATATACAGTATAAAAAAAAGTGCCCATGCCTTGTAATTTCCTTCACACGTCACCGCTAACTACTGTAGTAATACTGGAATGCTATTTGCCCTTTCTATATTTATGGCAAGGTATAGCAATGGTAAACAATTTATTTGCTGTTAGGAGAGCATAACAAAAATACAAAAGAAAATTTGATTAATAATATCAGTACCAGATGTAGGGTAACAACAGCATAGTATAAGTTAGAATAAAACTCACACTGAAAGGTCAAACAAACGCCCCTCAACAAATCCAGTTTGTCTAGTAATATTTTAATTTTTTTTTATAACACAAGAATTAAAGTTGGTTGACTCATCTTATCAACACTAATATTTCATGTTGTGGTAATAAAGACATTGTATCATTGTATAATACAGGAATAGCAAGCAAAGACAATATGAAAAAATACTACACTGCAGGATTTCAATACTGTACTGCATACTGTACAACACATGTACCAATGCACCAATTTTACACACCAGGTAATAACAAAAATTGGAGTGAAAATGAGAATACAGTGCAGTAAATAAACATAATTCATTTTACATAATCAGGTGAAAATACCACAATATTGAATGCAGCATAATAATTCTTTACTTTAAACTATGTACCATATCCTTTCAGTGCTTGCTTCCTGTCAGTGTAGTTTTTGCACTGTATAACTATATATATATACCTGTATTTTTTTTTTTTTTTTTGGGGTGGAGGGGGAGGACAGGTGGCCGGGATATTTATCATCGTTAACATGTTCACAATTCCCACATTCATAAATTGCAATACCTTTCCCAAATATTTTGGTACTGTACTGTGCAAGGTAAAGAACTCCACAAGGCTGACAAAGGCAAGTTAAAGTTAGGTTAGGTCATCAAAATTATGCAGGCACTGGGTGTAGTAAGGATGAGGGGGACCTTAGTGAGGAGTCATAAAAAGCATGAAAAGTCAAAGACAGTTATAAAATGACAAAATAACAAGGAAAATCATGTAAATACGTTAAACTTTGAAAAGCTGGTGTGGAGTTTGGGAAAGTGTGACAGTTCTGTGTGGTGATATTTGGTTAGCATGGCATTCTTAAAAACCTTCATTGAGTTAAAGAAAATTAAAGTCACTTATACCCATTTGATATGACAGTGTTAGGAGAACTGAACCAACTGCTCACCACAACTTAATTTCACTTACACAAATTCACAATACTGTACAGGTAATACAGTACAGTATATGTATACTCCAGCAAATCACAGATATTCTGCATATCTTATTAACCTCACGCATTTTATGTAAAAAAAAAATATTTTTTGCCTGAAATTATAATCAAGATTATTTTGAGCCTTTGTCAAGAATAAACGTGACTTTATTAAATATCATACATGACATTAAATATCAATATACTGTATCTAGGGTATGATATGTTTGACCAAGATTGTCAGAATCTGGTACAGTACAGTATTATTAAGAGAATTACTTAGAATTATAAATTAAATCCAAATATTTTTTTTTAAATTATCATGGAGAGTTTGATGATATATCTGTATACTGTACAGGAAATGCCATAAAAAAGTCTGACACAAAGCAGACATTTCTCTGTTAACTTTTAATGTTTTGCAAAATGTGGCATCATTATACAGTACTGTATTAGGGTTAAAAATGGTGACCTTAACATAAGCAAGAGGGAAAACAAGTAGCCAGAAGGTGTCTTCTTACCATGTGGTGGTCTTCCTGCTAAAAGGTAATGTAATGTTGACTAACATGCACATGAATACACTTCAGCTGAGAACATATTTTACAGCCGTTTTATTACTTGCTCACACTAATAAAATTAAAGAGTAATTATTCTGGTCTATCTGTCTTAGGTGAAGCTCCTGCAAACAGTATCTTCAATGAACATACAGTACTACAAGTACAGTATTATCATAAACAAATCTCATGAAATTACAAAAATTACATTATTACATACAGTATTTTTAAATAGCTGTAATTCAGTACAACTCTAGTACAGTATTGTAATGTAGTTCAGACTTTTTTAACTTTATATTCAAAAGAAAAAATTA